TTTTATGCATAAATGTTTAAATTTATTAGGATAAATATTTAATTGTTATCAATAATAATAAAATGAAAACAATATAAAAAAATAATATATTTTAAAAATGTTTAAATTGTAATAATAATGAAATAAGCCTTTTATTTTCCCTGCCTAGATGTTGGAGGGAATAAAAAAAAAATCTTCAAACAAATAATTTCGCCTAGATGTTGGGGAATTATTATTTAAATTTTCATAAAAAATATATATAAGAAAATTTTAACTAGTTTTCCAAAATTATAAAAATTTTGAACTTGTTATGAAAGTCTGCCTAGATGATGGGGATTTTTAGAGATGTTCGCGTTTTAATTAAACCCCAAACCCTAAACTTAAACCCTAAAATTTTTCCCTTAATTTATTTCAAAACTTTAAGAACACTTGTGGAAGTCTCACATGAGATGGTTTGTTTCCGAATGCTGCCTAGATGATGGGGTATTTAGAAAACTCCATTTCATTAAGTTTTTCACACTGTGTTCTAAATTTATTAATAATAAAATTAATAAATAAAAAGTATAATAAAATTGAGATCTTAAATATAAACAGTCGCACCTAAACTCTGCCTAGATGTTAGAGAGTCGGGGTGGTCTCATTATACTTAAGAATCCAACTCTTAAATTGCATTTCATTGTAAATGACATTTATTAGCATACATACGTTAGCATGTTATCATCGATAATTGATTGCATTATTCTCTCTGTAATTTGCTATTCGATGATAAAATATTTTATAGTAAAAAAAAAAGGAATAATACTACGAAAAAAATCTTTTTGTGATATTATAAAATAAATTAAAAATAACATTCCGAAAGAAATAATTCTTGGTACTCTGCCTAGAAGTTGGAGAGTCACTAACAATTATTTTCTATAAAGATTGTTATTTCATTTTAAGGATTATTGTGTTAAATCTTAGGCGAAAAGAGTTATTTTAAATTCTGCCTAGATGATGGAGAATTTTAAGATAATTCTTTAACTTAAAGATTTTCTCAATAGTTCTAAATAAATATTTTAGCAAAATTTTATTTTTTTTAATGAAGGAAATTAATGTTAAATTTCAAATTAAAACCATTTTTATCCAACGTCGAAAATAGCGCATAATTAAATGGTACCAATTTATAGGTGTTGTGGGAGTGCTAATCTTTCCTCACGCGTAATCGACTCCCGGACCCAACTTGATTTTTCGCAGACCGAAAATTATCTTTTTGATAAACTTTAAACTCGTTTTTATAGTTACTTTAACTCGTTTTTATAGTTTTATTAAAAAGATAAATTTTTGGGTGGCCAATCACACCCTAACAAAGATTGGTAGCGACTCCATTTTATTTTTCTCGATTTTAAAAACCTAATTTACGTCTGACGGTCTCAAAACCGTTACGACAACTTATGTTGACAAACGAAGGTATGTGGGTGATTTGTTTGGGACAATGTCAATTTAATTTGAAGGGGATTGAGAGATTAATGAAGTTCAAAAGTACAATCAGAGAATAATATGTAGATAATAACAATGATATACATTGATTAACTCTGTTTTTGACATTTTTGCTATTGGGAATTGGTGTTTTATTTTCTTGTTTGCACCTGATTATGTTGAGTTTGCGTTCTTTTCTGATGGTATTTCATGTATCCTTCCCCCTTCTTCCTGAATTTTGATGTAGACACAACAAGGAAGAAAAGAAAGGAAGAATAAGGTCAAAGAAAGATAACAGAATATAGAAAGTTGACTCCCTTGTTATATGATCACTATAATTTTTTAAAAAATTTATTTATTATTATTTCAGGGTTTCTTGGTGTGACCTCCATGGTAGTTCTATCCCTCCACAAGAAATTGCATCTTGCATTTGCCTTGTTATCTCTGGTAGCAGGAAGTGCTCATATTGCAATTGCAGATGTGGCTATTGATGCTTATGTCACACAGCTTACTATAAGTTACCCTTCTCTTGCTGGTGATATGCAGAGCTTGTGTGGGCTGAGCTCTTCTATTGGAGCCTTGTTAGGATTCTCGCTTAGTGGCTTTTTCGTTCACCTAGTTGGAGTTAAGGTTTGCTTTCTACGCCAGTATCTTAGTAGCTATTGATTGTAGTGTTATGGTTTTACTGATATCTGATTCTTTTTACACATTCGATACAACTGAAATTGATAGGCACTCTGATAAAAAATTCCCATTGAATTATTGATTCTAAATACTACAAGTGCTGAATTTACCTAACCAAAACCATTTGTGCAGATGTAAAACAACACCTGACCACCTTAATATTGCTTATTTTCTCTGATTTGAAGATCTAACTAAGTTCGAAGTGTATGGCTATGGAAGGTATACTAATTATTTAAGGCATATAATCTCAAAACTTAAAGTTGAAATTCTGAGTTTGGTCACCTAATCAGAATGTGAAATCTCCCTCTATCTCTCTACACAAGAATGTGGAATCTATTGTAAATATGACAGATGTCATGCCAATATATCCATAAATAGAAGAATTTATGATATAGAAATTTTGATATAAGCGTTATTTTTGGCAACCACTGGAGTTTAAGATTTCAATTAAATCATGTTAGGATGTGGTTTCACTTATACGATTTCAAGGTTGACAATGTATTCGGCCCTACCTATTATTTGGCCTCAATGTTCTTTCTACAATGGATATGTCATTGAAAGTGTTGCTTTCCTGCAGGGTGTATTTGGATTGCTTAGTATACCTGCTAGCCTAGTTGTTTCAGTAGGGATCTTTTTGAGAGAAGCCCACATGCCCAACTTTGCTTACAAAAGAGTAAGTTATCTTCATTTCAAGCACTGTATTAATCTCTCACTTCTTCCCTGTAAATATTGAATTGTAGAAATTGAATTTAGGTAAAGGAGAAGTTTGTAGATGCTAGCAAAGCTGTGAGGACAACACTGAAATGCTTGGATGTTTGGAGACGGTGTCTTTACATGTACTTGTCCCTTGCACTGGGCTTGCATATCCACGAAGGGATGTTCTATTGGTATACAGATGCAAAGGAGGGTCCATCTTTCTCACAGGTAGCAACTTTGTCTTTTTCATTGGTACAAGCATGACGTTACATTCCGTGTTCTATGGAGGTAGCAATTGGGGGGTTGGGGTCAGATTCAAGCACTTTTAGGTTGTTCCCAGTTTCAGTTGTTCAATTTGTTCTGGTTTTGGGTCGCTCGAATTCAAGTTATTTTAGGTTCAAGTTATTTTCATTTCATATTGTTGACTTTCAAAGTTGTTCAACTTTAGTTGGGTTGTTTATTTTGTGGGTGAAGTCAGGTCAACTTTTGCCACCCATAGTAGCAAGAGTTGGTGTTTGGTCATTTTGGTTTCATGTCACTTGCTTTAGGTTATTTCAAGTTCAAGTTGTTTATTTATTTATTTTTTTAAGTTGCTATACTAACATACATACATACATATACTTTGTAAAGTGTGTAAAATTCCCTGAGTTATCTTAGATAAATAAAAAAGGTCAAAATGTCTAAATCATATTCATGAAGTTGAGATTCATGACTTGGTTCAAACAAGAGAAAGAAACAAATATAAAATTATTCATAGATATTCAGGATATATTCTCTATGGTAAAACTGGGTTCATGAATTATGGCCACCAAACAGTCCAAGCAACAAGGTACATTGTTCAAGGTTTCATGATTACATACATAAATATACTTTCTAAAGTGTGTAAAATTCCCAGATTAACTTAAAGAATGTGATTTAGACATTTTGACGTTTTTTATTTATCTATGATAAATCTGTCAGAGTTGTAAGCTGCAATCTGTATGCTTTTTGGCAGGAGTTTGTTGGATCCATATTCTCTGTTGGCGCCGTGGGCTCTCTTCTTGGGTTCCTTATGTACCAAAACTTGTTGAAAAGCCATCCTTTTCCTGATATACTTTTTGGGCCCAGCCGTAGTATGGTATGTCTGGATTGCTAGATTTGGTATTGCTGTTGTGTATAAATTTGAAACTTGGTATGCCCGATTATATCTTTGTGGTGATTGATGAAGCTATTGCTCGTATCATTGGGCGTATCAAATGGATGCCTTTTCTTGTTCTCAGCTCCAAGCTCTGCCCTGATGGTATTGAAGGCACTTTCTTTGCTCTGATCATGTCAATTGATGATATTGGGTTGCTTTCATCAGCTTGGTCAGGAGGCCTAGTGCTCCACATGTTGAAGGTTACACGAACTCAATTTGACAACATTTGGATAGCCATTGTTATCTGGAGCCTGTTAGGACTTATTCCACTTGGATTCCTCTTTTTGATACCTAGAAGTGATCCCAACTCGTCCATCCTTCATCTGAGTTGTTGAGGACCAAAAAGGGCAATGATGTACTTGAACCTGAGAATATTGAAATGGCCTCCCTTGTCAGTAGCATCTGATGAGAACTTGGAATTATGGCTGAATTTCAAGAGAGATCAACTAGAAATGAGAAAATTTGGTGATTATGTCATCCATTGGGAACTCTCCAAAAGTTAACATCAAGTTTTGGTGCTCAAGAACAACAATTCAGAGTTGAGACTATTTGGAAATTCTTGTTTTACTCAATTTGCTTTTTTGCCTGAAGCATTGCCAACAAGCCAGGAAAGCATATTAAGAGGAAGTGGACAGATATTCATACACGAAAGTTTTCACTGTGACAATTTCAAGATATTCAGCAGGTTCTCGATCTCTCTCTCAGCGCTTGAATTTTATTTATTTCTTCTAACCATTTTTTCAGTAAATCATTGATACATTCTCTAGGATGTGCATCTACCTCACTTTGATTGAAGTGGGAAGTGTCTGCTGTATTATTATATGCATTTAGGCACAAAAGGTAATGAAATTATCACATTCTCCATCAGACTTCTCAACTGATTTTACACGCTTAAAATCTTTCTTTATATTGAAACAAATCTTACAAGGATTAATATTAAATTAACTCTTACACCTACCGAGGAAGTAGTGTTATTTCAGGCAACATCCCCTTCCCCCCACTCCCGTTTCTCTACCATTTATTGAGCACACTCAGGAAATCTCGAGTGGCTATCATAATTTCTATGCCTTCTGCCCGAGTAGTTATATGTATATAATATGAACTAGGAAAAGATGCTAGGGTATAGATATTGTTAATTGCCAACAGATCACTTGGCTTAGCATCCAATAAAAATATATCCACAACTGCGCAACAGTTCTAGCTTTTCTGCTTATGTGAAACTGCAACTTTCCTGGGCAAACCCCAACTTTGACTCTTTCGTATCATATATAACCCTTTGGTTTCTTTGCTGATAATTTGCAACAATGCCGATTTCATCTTCGAATGAGAGGCTTGCAATAGCCAAACACACCTGAGATGCATCAGTCTTTACAAAGTAAAACACCCCACTTATGTCCACATTTATCTCGGCATTACCCTCAAATTGCAATTTAATCGTGGGAACATCCACTTCTTGGTATGCACTAAGGTTAAAGCAAGTATCCAAGATTGAGAAAGCTGGTGCAGAAGGAAAACTAGAAAATTGTTTCAGAAACTCTGCCTTTAATGCCTTGTAAATTGTTGGAGGAAGCCTGGTAATAACCGTCCCAGAATCAATAAGCATTCCATCTTTGCCAAAACTTGAATCTTGCAGTGTCACCCCACCAACACTGACACCAGTTAGGTTGAGGAAATAGAAAGTTGATAGCTGTGGATTGGGAATCATTCTAGTGTAAGAAATGGGGCTTGAAGTCTTATAAACCGAAGAATTGCCTCCCAAAACTAACGAACCTGAAGCCCCAGCTTGTGCAGAAGGCAAACAATAGGAGAAAAACCCTCCAAATATTGCGGATGTTTGAGAAACCAGAGAGATAGAGCTCCTTCCTAGACCCATCAGACCAGAAGCTCCACCAAAAAGACCTTTATTGTTCCGGCCGCAGCCAAATTTAAAATTATCCACTGGAGTATTGCCTAGATTGAGATGATCATGAGCTAGTTCACCGCGAGTATAGGATCCATCACCATAGCTAACGACGTAGTTACAGGTTGGTGGATTGTTCCCACAGAACCCTGTATTCCCAGTAGCAAATGCAAGTGATTGACAGTCTGATGAATTACATAAGACTGTTTTGTAGGAAGGAGATGCAGATGGGTTGAAAAGAGGTTCCTTTTGGTTATAACATGATTTGCAAGGCTGGCACTGAACCCAAGTCAAATCACTTCCAGTATCAACAATCACTGTCATTTTCCGACCACCTAATTGAACTGTAACGATGTAGTTCAGTGTTCCAAGTTCTACACCAGAAGTTAAGGGGATTCCTGTATTAGAAACTTCTGTTTTGCTAGAAGCCATGTTCTTGATTCGTGCTTGCAATGACTGAACTCTTCGATCATCCAATATCAAGTGCTTCTGAAGCAACTTATTCCAGTATTTGATCCCTCCTCCATAGCAAAAATCTCGGTGCTTCATTTCCAATATAGTTGCATCATTCTCCTTTCCTAAATATCCAAAATTTAAGGGGGAGAAAAAGATTAAATTATGCCAACCCTTAATCAAACATCTAATTTTGGATGAAGAGTATAATAATGGGAAAAGCAAAACCAGCGAGAGAAAAGAAAATAGATATAAGCAAAAGGTCGATACGCAAGAAATGGCAGGTTTGGTTTCGATCGTGTCCTATCCATTTGACATAAAGCAGTCAAGCCTTTTACCTATGCAACTTGAAAAATTGAGATATTAAAAGAGAAGTGAGACCCTTAGCAGCACATATAAGCCAATTATAGATTACATAATCTAATGAAAAGCAAAGTCAAGATAAGCTTAAAGTACAGTTGGATTTCCACCCTGGAGGGGAGAAAGATATAGATAAAGAGAAGGAAATAGTACGTCCCAAAAAAAATTAAAGAGAAGGCAATAATGGCTGTTTCCCACAAGGCATGAAAGCAGTTATGGATCCTATCCAAAAAAAATAAAAAAGGCAGAGGTAGAAATACAGATCCCAAAGTCGAAAATAAAATAATGGGGAGCTTTGGCCATCGGTTTAATGAGTCATTTTTATTTGTCTGCCAAAAAAAGAAAAGAAAAAAACTCATAAGAACTTACTTGATTTCTGAGGCAAACAACTTGAAGCATCCCATTTCTGTTTCCATTGAAACTGTTGCAGCTTGAGTAGCTTCGTCTCACCAAAACAGTGAACCCCATTGACAAGAATGAGGAGGAAAGCAAGAAGTGAAAGCATAAATGTTAAAAGGGCTGTTCCTTTCAACATTGCAGAGGGCAGTGAAAACAGCTAAAAGAAAGCGAAAAAGCAGAAAGAGAGAAGGTGAAAGTGCAGATTAAAATGACAGTGAAGAGAAAAAGAGAGGAGAAGAAGAGAAGAAGAGAGGGGGAGAGTTTCTAGGGAGTTGGAGTTTGGCAAGAGAACAAAAGAGGGAGGGCTGGCTAAAGGTCCCACTGGTGCATGAGAAATTATTGGGGATTCACGTGCAAATACTTGGGAGATAAAAAAAGAGGTCTTGTGTTTTCCTTGTGCACTGCCTGCGGCAACAAACAACTTGTCTCGTGATTGATAGTTTTGAAGTGATATCTTTACGGAAAAAAATTTAAAAAAATGAGTCATATAATGATATTTATAAAAAATTTATTTTAAAATTTTAATATTTTAAAAAGTATATATATTTAATTTTAAAATATATTTAAAATAATTTTTTATAATATAATATTAAATAATTTATTAACAATATATAACATTATATATTAATAATATATCAAATATCATTTAAAAAAAATACATAATAATTTTTAATATTGCTCGTAGAATTTAAATTCCATGAACCATGTATAAGAAACAAATTCTGTATTTTTATTGGTGTTTTTAATATTGCTCGTAGAATTTAAATTCCATGAACCATGTATAAGAAACAAATTCTATATTTTTATTGGTTTTGTAAATTTTGTAGTCAGATAAGGGCTTTTCTCCGCACGAAATCAACTGTAACCACTTACACCTTTGAGGGGCAAGCATTTTTTGTGCGTTTTGACGTTCCCTTCTTTGTTCTTTGTTTTATATATAAAGGTGAAGTTTAAATAATATATTAATATTCATAAATTATTTAGATTTGATTTAAATAAAATTTAAATTTAATTTGATTATTATCGATTTAAGTTTGAATTCAAATAATTTGATTTATTAAATGAATCGAATTCGATCATTTTTATATTTGATTCAAATAGTTCGTAAATTTAATCAAATTTTTTATTTAAATGTAATTTTATTATTTTAATTAATAAAATATCTTGAATTTAAATTCGAATTTGAATACAAATAATTTAATTTTTATTGAATGTAAGAATTAAATTTATTTTTATATATTAATCGAGTCTAATTAAATAAGTTTGAATGATTCGATTTTTATCTTAAATCGAATTCGAATTAAAAAAATAAAATTCGATCGAACTTAATATTATATTAATTCGAATTCAATCGAAAGTGGAATTATATACTTTTTTTTTTCTTGGGATATTTGCTCATGCTCTGCCACTTAAAAGGAAAAAAAAAATCATCTTCGTGGTAATAATTTATTTGGTTTAAAAATATAAAAGGTATAATTTCAGAGTCTGATGAACAGAGTTGCATACATTATTATTTAGTTTGAAAGTGATTCGGAGGCCGAGGCCATGTATGTTCCCATTATCATTTTTTGAAATCCTTAATTTATTATTGACACCTTTTATCCTATCCAAGTTATCCTTTTTGATATATAGCATAAACATCAGTATTTTTATTTGATAAATGTTGAAAACTTTTTTATATTAATTTTGATAAAAGATTACAAATATCTAAAATTAAAATTTAAACTTATTGAATATTATTTTTTTTTTAAAAATTACATAAATTAATTAGTTTAAGTCTCATATTCAACTGTTTTAATACTATGATAGTTAATTTATATGTATTACTTGAGCATATGCAGCTTAAAATGAATTTACCATTTAAGGAAAAAACTAGTAATCATATGCACTGATAATCTCCAGGAAGATAGCAAGTGGTAGAGAGAAGAAAAATCAAACTTCCCCTCCAAATAATAAAACGACAAATAAGAAAAGGCCTTTGGTGGTAATTGGGATGAGGCGGTAGAACTGTCACGCCCAAGCTGCTTCAACAATGCTCAAATATATTTCAATTAAACTATGATGAATGGTACGAACAAGTTGATTTTTATAATATTTATTTTATTATTATTTTTTTAGTATGAAGTTTTTTTTTTATTTTATTTTATTGACAGAATTAAAAAAAATTGCATTCTATCAAAAACTTTTATTGATTGATATTATAAAAATTATTATTAAAAAAATGTTCGGTTGAAAAATTAATTGAAGGAAATCGTTTTTACATTATTGACCCTAATGTGAAAAGAAAAGAAAATTTTTTTTCTTCCGCTTTCAAAGTGCACTCATTCCCCACTCTCAGCTCTGTTCCTTTTTCTTTCTCATTCCTAGTCTAAAAACCCAACCCTTTATTCCCTTCTAAAAAAACAAAAACCTTCTTTTCCTCTCCCTTTCTAGTTAGGTTGTGTGATTCTAATTTTAACTTTTTGATTATTGAATTTGTCAAGAAAACATAACCCTATTTTTCTTTCCCTTTCCCTTTCTTTTCTTCACAAGAACCCAACTGAAATGTCGTCATTTGGTTGTTTTCTTCTCTTTCTATAAAGATGAAGGATGAGTCGATAATTTTCAATAAGGTAGTTGCTTATCAAGTATCTATTTTGAAGAGCAGTCCACGTTTGATTGATAAGGTTGTTGCCGACCATGCTTGTTTGCGTTTGGCATATTGTAGCATTTACCTTTCTTCAAGTAGTTACTGAGTTCTTAGATTTTAATGAAATTGAGCTTTCTTTTGTTGAGGGTTACGAGTATGGAGTCTCCAAACTCAATTACAATCCTCTCTGATTCTTATTCCGAGTGCTAAGGGAAAAGAAGTTAGTACATTTCTATATATCTCTTTGCTTGCAACTGTTTATTTTTGCTTATTCGTTATATTTACTTCAGATTGTTGGATTTAGATTTTTTTTTAAAAACAAAATTAGGTTATAAACACTTGTTCGGTTTTGATCATGTTCATTTTTTTATTTTTGACTTAAACATGCTCATTTTAACTTTGTTTTAAATTAAAGGAGCATTTGTTCATGGAATATTAGATTTTAGAGAAAAATGTGATTTTTAAGAAAGTGCGATATCTGAGATTTTTTTTTATTTTTAAGATATCTCGTATTCAAATTCATTCGTTTTGTTAGAAAGAATTTACATTTATTAATTTCTAAATAATTATTATAATCTTTTTAACATATATGATGATAATTTTTTATTAATTTTTATTAATAATAAATATCCAAATTACAAATGATGTTTTTAACAGCAAAAGAAGACAAATATTTAAGGCGTTTTTAATTAGAAAACACTTTAAATAATCTCAAATATTTTTTTAAAAAAGATTATTTAAGGTGTTTTTTATTTAAAAACGCCTTAAATAATCTCTTTTAAAATATGTGAGGGGATTATTTGAGGTGAATGAATTATTTAAGACGTTTTTTTGTCTAAAAAAACCTTAAATAATCTATTTTAACATGTATTAGGAGATTATTTAAGGCTAAATAAATTTTTTTAATTTTTTTAAGTACATTATTTAAGGTGTTTTTGATAAAAAAAAAAAAACACTTTAAATAATATACTTTAGTTTTTTAAAGGGTATTATTTAAGATTTTTTTTAATTTAAAACACCTTAAATAATTCATTTAATTACTTATAACATTTAAGAAAAAAATATAAAAAAATGGAATAGCTCAATCGGTTAGAGTATATGATTATTAATCATAAGATCATAGGTTCAACCTTTTCCTTTAGTGCTTTAATATTTTTTGAAGGAGATTATTTAAGGTGTTTTTGACAAAGAGTGCCTTAAATAGTCTCTTTCATTGCTTATAAGATTTAAGAGATAAAATATTAAAAAATTAGAGTAGCTTAATTGGTTAAAACATATGGTTATTAATCATAAGGTGATAGGCTCGACCCTTTTTTCTAGTGCTTAGTTTAAGGGAATACTTATAAGATTTTTTTGGGATTATTTAAGGTGTTTCTGACCAAAAAATGCCTTAAATAATACTAATCAATTTTTTAATGGCTTATTTTTTGAGGATTATTTATAAGATTTTTTTGAGAGATTATTTAAAGCATTTCTGGTTAGAATACACCTTAAATAATGTTGATCAATTTTTTTATGGGATTATTTAAGTCGTTTGTGGTTAGAAAGTGCCTTAAATAATCCTATTTAATTTTTTGTAGAGGATTATTTAAGGGGTTTTCTGGCTAAAAACGCCTTAAATAATCCCATAAAAAAATTGAACATGATTATTTAAGGCATTTTTCATGCCAAATGCCATTAATAGCAATATAAACAAATTTTTTTAACAGCAAAAACCTACAATTGACTTACAGTTACTTTCATATATGTTTTTCAAAATGGTAATGACTATTTCATAATTTTTTAATTTAGGTCAAATTTGAAAATAATGTAACTTTCCCCCTCGAAATCCTAGAATACCATAGGGAGAGATGGATTTCTGATTTTGAGACTTTCGGTTCTCTTAGGAATTTGTCACTTTCCTCCATAATCGAATTATCTTGAATCAAATGTTAGAATCAAATACCCACAAATAAGATTTCGAGGGATAATGCATGGATTCTCCCTAACCAAACGCCCCCTAAGTGTTTTTAGATCTTGGATTGAAGCTAATTTAATTTAGGGTCAATTGAGCTGAAGGCCTAATAGAAGTTTAAGTTAGTTTTTAAAGACTAAAGTCAATTTATAAAACTAAATTCAAATTTCGGCCAATTTAATTTTATTAGGATTAATTATTATTATTATTTTTTAAAGATGAGGGTTAGCTACGATGGTAGCAACCTCTTGTTGTCATGGCCCGTAAGCTGGTCTAAGTCGAGGGGTTCTCTTCAAATCAAGTTTTAGTTCTAGTGGGATAGAGTCTAACAACTAGTAGGACTAGGCCTATAGGCACACTGAAGGTCTAGGAGGTAGGAAACTAGCCCAAAATAGTGGTACAGATAATGATAAAGACTCTAGTAGCTCAGGTAAGGTGTTTAGGTTCGGCACAGTCAAGCTAGGCCTAGGCTCAGGTAGTGATGATCAAAGTACGGGTGCATGAGTGGATACAAGCACGGGCATTGAGGATTGAGTTACGAATGTATGGTCAAACCAATGTGCGGGCACTCTTGAACACAGACTTGAGATAATCAAAGTTGGTAATACTAAAT